TATATAAAAAATATAATATTTCAACGAATGCATCGTACTTAACGTCTGCAATTGATAATGGACCCTGTTTGAGCAATTCTTTTTCACGCATATCATTTAATATTAATGCACGAAAATATGAACTACGAGCACAAAGAATATTTTTATGAGCTTTTATCAAATGATCGTCTATGGTGAACTGAATATCACTGTGTCGATTATTATTATTGAATAATTTTGATAATGCATCAGATAATGTTGTACGATATACCGTGGAATCAAATATATTTGTACCAGTTATTTCTAAAGAATGATAGCCAAAAATCAACATTAATACATTCAACTTGGGGAGAGGGATGGCAGGGCTTCGCACACGATGTTGTAGCAATACGTACTCTTTGAAATCCAAATCCTCATATTTGGTATTAGAGATTATACTCATTGCACTTACTTATCGCGTTTATGGCGATCATTTCAGATTTTGTTGGATCAACAGTAATGCGTAATCGATCACTCATTATTCGATATCGACGTAAAACAGGTGAGAATATTCGATGTGTAACACCATCCAATGGTCGGTCCTCGCCTTCCCACAGGACAAAACCATTATCTAAACAACATAAAATAATGCAAAAGCAAATAATCATACTTCAGTATTATTACATACCTCTATTATCAATTATTTCAAGTTTTACAACTGAACCAGGATTGAAATCTTCATAAATATAAATTTTTTCCATATATACAAGCGTTTTAATTCTCACTATAATATGCTCTTGTCTTGTTCCATTTGAAATGGTCCAGCTATGTTCTTTATTTGGATAAGTGTCATGATTTGGACCAACTAGTTTCTCGATGGTTGTTCCACGTGGTATTGAATTTACTATATTAGTATTATCACTATTTGATTTGGTAAATGAACAATAATCGATAGTGTCTACCCAATAACTAGTGTAATCAATTTTGGTTGATATCTACAAAAGAAAAGCGTGCGTTTAATCGAAAGTAATTTCAATTTTCCTGCTTACTGGTGATTGATTATGATGTTGTCCTTCTTCTTCGTACATAGACTCGTCTGAATCAGAGTC